AAAATTTAAGCTTTAATCCATCTTCTAATGAGTTGATTAGATTTTGGGCATATACAGAGTCGTTTTCTGTCTGATATTTACACTTGAAGAAAAAATTCGTCAAATAAAAGTTGCTAGTGATATAAAATTCAATTAAAAAATAAATGAGAAAAGTAGGTATTTGAATTTTGACCTACACTGTACAGATTTGTTTCGAATTAAAAAATAGTGTATCCGCATAAAATATAGACTAATATCGAAACTATTTTACAACAAAAGATTGGTTTCCAATTGTTTCTTTTGCAGTATATGAGATTAATACGATTTTCATATAAAATTGGTATTAGCGTATACTCTGTATGATCTCATACTATTTGGTATTGTTATAATGGGAAAAGCGAGGGCAATTAAAATATAAAATAAAATAAAGGGCATTTCATTTAAAAAACCTAACTTTGATATGTTTCACTTTTTTGGAGAACCCTGTATGATTAAAATTATTTTAAAACTGTTATCTTTTCGGACATACATCTCGTTGTGAAAACAAATTTTAAAAAAATCAAATAGTTTTGGGTCTACAGACTGAAGCATTACCCGTTGCCCATCCTGTACATAAGTCATTACCTTACAAGGTTCATTTCTTAAAATTTCAAATAGACATATCTGGAAAGAATTTCTGACTTGTTTGTTTAGAGAAAACAAAATATTAAAAAGTACCTAGGGAGAAACGCATATACTCGTATAAACTTACCCAAAAATATTAAACTTTGGTAAAAAGTGTTGTTTTATTTATAAAGTAGGTATTTATTATTAAAATTAAAACCAATAATTAAAAGTATGGCAGTAAGTTAATTATATTTGCAAATAAACGTATTTTTTAACCATATTTTGTTAATAATATATTGAATTATTTATTTAATTAATTTTCAAAACGCGCGTATACAAATTGTATTTATTCCGGCCATTTTTCTTTTTCTTTAAAAATCTTTATTTATAATATTTACAATATATTTACAATTTTAATAAGTAATAATATATATTTCCGCATGACTTCCTTGTCCAAGAAGTCTCATACCGATAGCCCTCAACTAGTGGGGCCATGGCCGTTGTCATAGCCTTAATATTATTCTTATTAATTGGAATTATGCATGTTTCATACTATCTCCTTACTATTTAAAGCATAATATAGCAATTTGGATGAGCTTGCGGGATCAGTAGTGGTGTCTGTCTATTGGGATCTAAAATTAAGATCGCAGCGCCGTCTGTACTTAACATTTAAACTAATTGTTATAGCTTGTTATTGTTTACATTTTTGAGTTTGTAAACAAACAACCCATAAAAAGTATTTAGTTTATATTGTGCTATTTTAAGGAAAACACGAGGGAAAACATATTGTTGTTAATTTTTAGTGATTAGATACTTTTATTTCAATAGTTTTTAGGTTAAAGTAGAATATATATTTTTATTTGGTAAGTAACCCCCTATTAATTTTGTTTTTAAATTACATTCATTCATTTATGTTAATTTAAGATATATTTGTGTTATCTTTTAATAAAATATTAATATATTTATTTTATTTTTATTGAAATGTCTGAAATAAGGCTAAGTTCAATAGAACTTATGAAGTATATTGATGCAGGTCAAAATTCCAGGACTGTTATTAAAGAAGATGCTATTTTAAATGCGGGCCACATAGTTTTTATGTGGAAAGAATTAATTTAGTGATAAACAGGTTTTTGCAGTTATTCTCCAAACTAGTGCATTGAATTCAGGTCCCCATATTGTTGTAGGCCAGTGCAAGATGTTTGAAATTAGTGAATGGCAGTGTTTGTTTTAAGCTGGGAACAGTGGACAGTGCAAACATATTTCAGGAGTCTTAATAAAGTGTTCTAGGTGTATACTGTTTCAAATATTAAAAGAACTATCAAGCTAATTCGATCGAATACCTTTTGATTTTCAAAAGGAAAAACTTGTATTTCGTGCAAAACTTTTTTATTAATCAATGCAAATCGATAAATAATGGCATTACACAAGATATTCTTTTATATTTTCAAATAAATCTAAAATCAGTTTATGATTATTACAAAAACTATGTGTCCTTGGTACGGAAGCAGAATATTTATGGCTTCACTTTTATGTTTGCATAAACTGTTTGATAATCAAATTATTATTTCAATGTTCCATAATTTTATTTAACAAGATGTTTTAAAACATATAGAATAATTATTCTTTTAAAATCATCTATTAACACAAGTAGGTACTATTTTGTTTGTTTGTTAGTTTTAATGTAAAATTTACTTAGTCATAATTTTAATTTGTAGTTTGTATTAGTTTTTAGTCTTAATACTTTTATAATATATTATTTAATCCATGTTACTTATTATCTTACAAATAATTGTATGACACTTCGCAAGTGTTCTTATTCTTACCTTTTTGACACACTGATGTTTGTAATGTTTGGATATTGTGTGAATAATTATGATATTAATAACATAAGTAATTCATGTGATCTCTTCTTTAATACAATAAATGAAAATGTACAGCTTGAAATTTATGATTGATTTTGTACTTGAGAGAATACTCTTTTTAATAATTATTTTTATTCTCAAGTTTACTAGTCATCGTGTACAGTTACATTTTCTAATGAGTGATTGTACATTGATAATGTATTTTTGTACATTTTTTATATAATTCTGTAATGGAATAGTTCGACACATGCAACGAAGACTATAGTAACTCATTATTTCCAGTTTTGAGAAAATCTAAGATAATATAGTATTCAAAGTATTTTATGGCCTAAAATGATTTACTATATTTGATGGTAGTATTTCTGGTTGCTTAACCTCTTCGTTTAGATATACGATACTTATTTAGATCAAAGCTTTTGGCAAATATATGTGCTGGATAAAGGTAACTAAAAACTCTCAAAAAATGAGTCTTCGTTGCATGGGTCGAGTTGATTCTGTGGGTAAAAAGGCTATTATTATAAGCAATAAATATAAAAATCAAATATTTTTTATTTTTGCTGTTAACAAAATATGCCAATGTTTACATAATAATAAACGTTCTTTATTGAGTTACAATACCCAATAGGCCATCTTCTGAAGTACTTCAGCTGATTTGACTGTATTTTCTAGTACAGTATGTTAAAGTTGTTAATACCAGTGAATGTCAGATTTTAAAAGATCTGAAATTGTTTTAATTTTTGGGGTATGCGCACTTGTACACTAATGGCAATATACTTGAAAAAGAGTATTTGCAACCTCTGTCTTGTTTGGCGTGAGTAGCTAGGTTATCTTGAAACAAATCACTCTCAACTATGACTTTGTTTAATCTCACTATCACATTTAACACTGATTGAACTTTTTTTAGTTTGGACACAAAATCATTATGTGGTTTGGATCTTCTTTTTGTTCTCTCAATATTTGATTTTGAAGTTTATTGAACAGAATCGTCAAACATTTACTTAAAAACTGGCAGGAACACACTGCGATTTTTTTTTATATTTATTTTCACTTTGGATGAGGCATCTACAACACAAAAAAAGGTAATATAAAAACATTCAATCGAAAAACAAATCTATATTACCTCTAGGCAAATCATCTTCTTTAAAATGCTTCTCAATTTTTAATGTATGTAACCATGCATTTCTTGCAGAATTTCCACTTGCAATTTATAAAAATTACTCTACATTTACCAACTTTAGGAAGCAAATGAAATGTAAAAGAAGGTCCATTTTTTTTAGGGCTGCATACAGGCACCCAACAAGTGTGTTTTTCACTGATATTCCACTTATAGTTCAAATAAAATAATATTTTAATATATATGATATAAATTTAAAGCATTAGCTTATTATTAAATAAAATATTTCAAACAAAATACTTGTTAAATTTTAAAATATTGAAATGACCTGATAAACAATAAACAAAACTTGACAGAACACAGACGGTCAAGTGTCAAATGGCATAACTTTTAGTTCACAGTAGAGGGCGTATCGCTTATCTTCAGATCCCAATAGTTTTGTTTGAATTTACTTGTGATTGTCTTCCCTGAAAAACTAATTTCAAAAAACAGGGTTGTCCTTGTATGTCATGTGTGTCATTAGTGTTAGTTTGTGTCTGGTTTAGCCAAAACACGAGTCTACACAGTGATTCCTCCGTCCTCCGTCCAGAACTGCGATCAAGGCAAGCTTCGATCACGGTCCTGGCCGGTGACGTCACCGTGCAGTCTTCCGTCCGACCACTTTTATAGAGAAGTGATCGTAGTGTTTTGGCTATTCAGTCAGTTTACCTAGGACTTTCCTAGGAGTCGTTTGAGGACAGAGCGTGTCAATTTTCGAGTTTGAAACGTCAGTTGTCAAATAATAATAAAATTATCTTCCAATACCTTTTCCTTATAATTTTCCTGAAAGACGCCAGTGTAAGTACAAAACCGTATAGGGTTCTCGGCATATGTCCGAGCCCAAAAGGGCACCCACAACGCCGAAAGGCTTTGAAACAGAATATTCCAAGAGACTAAAAAGCCGGTATAGATATCTGGACAAAAACAGAGAGAAACTGCACCCAGAAAGCCTCCCATCGACCAGCCCTAAGCCTAGGAGGAAAACCAAAGTGAGTACCGAGAGTGGCAAACTAACTATTAACCCAGGGGTCAATCACCCGAAACAAGGGGACCCCCTGGCAAAAATTTATGTGAAACAACCTTCAGATGACCCCCAAAGCTTAGAAACCAAAAAAGACAACACAGATACACCACGTAAGCCATCCATGGATGGGTCGGATGAAATGGATTATCACTCATCCAAAGAGAGTAATAATTCTAACCCAAACACTCCAGAACCACAGGAAAAGAAGGGAAATCAATATAAAACAGTGGAAACACTAATAAATGTGCTAGAAAAATCGTCGTCAGATTCATCATCTGATAATGATATAGATATGGACAGCACAGTTGTCCCCAGCCAGAAAAAAGAATCTGGAGAACTGGATAAAGCCACAGCAGATTATTATTCTGAATATCAGAGAGAACAACAGCCCAAAGGGACATTCAAAACCCTACCCTTCCCAACTAACGCTATAGCGAAACCATTAGATTTTGGAGGTAATTCCAATGTAAATAATACTATCTGTGTGGGAAGTACTCAAACGAGGGATGGATTGAGTAGTTCCTCTGCTGGGTACTGCCCCTCACAGACAGTAATACCCCCTATACCCACTACCCCCAGGGAAAATACGGAAAATGTCAACCTAACACCTTCACAAAGCACCACTAGGAAAAGGTCTAACTCTGACCCCAGAATCAAAAGGAAAGAGATACCAAATAGTGTAGACAATACTATCTTGCAGTACCAAAGTCAAACATCTGAAGAAGATACACTGACGGTTAGAGAAAGATTCGACAGGGACGATAAGTTACCACATTCCCCAAACAGTCTCTTTGAATTCCGTAGTGAAAAACAAAGGGTAGAATATGAAAGGGAAAGAGAACAAAAAAGAGTTGAAGAAGAAAACAACAAAAAGAAAGATGAGCAATTTACAGTCCCACGTAAGTTCAGCTCAAACTTTCACAGGATGATAAGGGAAAAAGCAGTCCAAACCCTAACTACGACCAGAAATACATTCCAAGTGCTTACCGACGAATCAGATTCAGAGAATGACGATGAAATCGGTAAGATTGTAAAGAAAAGGAAAAAAGGTGCAAAGTTTGTGCCATTTCATATAAAAGAAACAACAGCAGCGCCGCCAAAGCAACCAGTTGCAAGCACAAGCAACGCAAATAACACAAACAGCAACCCAAGCAACAAGAACACAAACAAAAATATCAAAAATAAAACGACAATGCCACCAATTGTGATTGATGGAAAGACAGCCAATCCCAATCAGTTAATATCAGACCTCAAAGCACTGGTACAAGGAGAATTTAGTGTGAAACACACAAATCGCACTACAATTCTCTTTGTAGAGGGAAAAGAGGACTATGAAAAAGTCCTTAATAACGTAAAGAGTGAAAAAATGGCCTACCATACATACACAGCGTACAGTGAAAAATCACATGCTTTCGTGCTCAGAGGTCTGGCGGAAAACACGAAAATTCAAGATATAAAAGAGAACCTCGAAGATGACCACGAAATAGTAGCCAGAGAAATCTATATTATGAAAACTAAAGAACGTCCCCTCTACCTGGTAGTTACTGACCCGGTTATCACTCTGGAGTACTTAAACAAAAACATCAGGAGAGTCCTACACACCAGAGTGACCTGGGAGTTGAAAAAATCAGTTAAACAAATAATACAGTGCCATACATGCCAGGAGTGGGGACATGCTACAGCAAATTGTGGTAAACCAGCGCGTTGTGTAAAGTGCGCGGGGGATCACCACACACGCACGTGTGTCAAGTCCAGAGACACACCAGCGACGTGTGTTAACTGCGGGGGTGATCACCCCGCAAACTACTCTAAATGCAAGTCTTATCTCGAAAGAGTAACAAGGCTGGAAGAGAGAAGGCCAGCACAGCAAAGGAAGCTAATACCAGCTCCCCCTCCCGCAATTAACCAATGGGAAGCTAGAAAAAATAATAACGCCAGAAAAACAGAAGAATTTCCAGCGTTAAACCATAAGACATGCACATGCAAACATCCATGGAAACTGTAAAAGCACATATCCTTCGAATATCCGACAAATTTTACAACAATTGTTTACCCAGTTCCCTTAAGGAAGACATAAACTCGATCTATGAAGGAGATGGTGCAAGCAGAAAACATGGATGCTTGCATAAAGCCCTCACAATATACAGACGAGACTAATACAGCCCTCAGCTAACGATAAGACGTGGACTGGGCGCTGCTACTAACTGACTCACAGCAGCGAGTATTACACTGAATAGCCAAATCCCGAAGCCGGCTAGCTATCAACTCTGGTCTGCACGGTGACGTCACTATTCAATGCAGAATTCGCGGCTAGCGCTCCGAAGTCGATATTGAATAGGGATCTTATTGTGTAGTCTGTGGATTTGGTTTTCTCACGTACAAAGACTACCATGAGACGAACACACATACAAGGACAACCCTGTTTTTTATACGTTTTTCAGGGAAGACGCACACAATTAAAATCAGACAAAAACTCACTCAAACACCATTATCGCTCTTGCTAGCCCACATAAAAGGCATATTATGTTATTAACAAGGAGATGCCTAGTTATACACAAATGATCAAAAATAACATACTAATACTATGCCAGAACAACGGCGAGCCTCGGTGAGGACGAAATAATAGGCAGGTCACACTTCCGAAGCACTGTTGGAAGTACTACTATTAAATAAAGTATTATATGATATTTAAATGTAAATTATTGTACATAAGTTTTTTAATAAAGGATTTTGAAAGTAAAAGTTTGGCTATTCAGTGGATTGTGTGTTGCTGTCGGATATGTTACTGGTCTCGTCGGTAGATTTGTAGGTTTTCGTGCAAGCATCCATGTATTCGCCTTGCCCCATCCCCTTCGTATATAGTGTTTATGTCTTCCTTCAGAAAGTCAGGAAGACAATGATTGAAGAAGTTCTCTGCCATTTTTAGAACAGTCTTTAATTGGTACAATGGATGCTTGCTCATGCATGTCTGTTATACGTGCATAGCGGTCGCACCCCAAGGCTAGCCGCAGACACCTGTTCTGTGTGATTTGGAGCTTTTCAAAATGGGTATTAGCCATAGAACAGTAGACTGGGCATCCATATGTGAGGATCGGCCGTAGTACTTGTTTAAATAATAGTATTTTATTTTGAGTTGTTACCCCGCTACGTTTGTGAAGTAGGGGGTATAGCGTCTTTATGGCTCCATTTGTTTTTGCAGTCCGATCCACAATGTGTTGCTTGAATGTTAATCCCCTATCCAGAATGAATCCTAGGTATTTGACTTTGTTTTGTGTGTTAATTATTTTCCCTTGAACTTTAAGTTTTGTTTTTATGTTATCAGTAAACCTTTTTGTTAAAATTAAGCTTTCAGTTTTCTCAGGATTAATTTTTATTTTATTTTAATCCAGATAGGGGATTAATATTCGATTTACATGGATGTCCAGTCTTCTGAGAGCTATCTCCGCGAAGTGAGATGTCTTATAGATGCAGGTGTCGTCGGCGTATAGGGCCGTTTGTATACCATTTTGTCCCATTGGCATGTCATGAGTCAAAATGGTATACAGGTGGGGCGCCAATACCGAGCCCTGTGGTACTCCTGCCTGTGCTATGTATGGTCCTGTAATTGTATTTTTTATTTTGATGTAGAATTGTCTGTTCTGTAGGTATTTTTGTATTATTTTTACAATGTGAACGGGGTAGTCATTCTCAAACATTTTGAATATCAGACCATCGGTCCAGACGGTGTCGAAGGCCTTCGCAGCATCGAGGGCAACAAGCACCGTTTGGAGTTTATTGTTATATGCTTTCTTCGCGTTGTGAGCTATTCTGATGATTTGTGCCGTCGTGCTGCGTCCGGTCCTGAAACCGTACTGTTCCTCCGCTATGATATTCTTGTCCTATTCGTATGTCATAAGTCTTGTCAAGATGATTTTGTCTATTACTTTTGCTATGTCATTTAAAAGTGATATAGGTCTATAGCTCTGCACTAGCCTTTTATTTTTGTTACCTTTTGGGATAGGTATTATATTAGCTCGTTTTTGTGACTCTGGGTAATATTGTAATTTTAATATGCTGTTTATAAGATAGTGAAAGTAAACTATAGCTTTTAAAGAGAAGTTTTTGATTAAAATGTTTGGGATGCCATCTGGGCCCGGAGCCCTGTTGCTTGGGGATCTCTTAATTGCTTCAGCTACCTCTTTGGGGGTGGTTAGGGCGTCCTGAGGGACTATTTGTGTATCCATATCATTAATTTCTTTACAATATTGTGTGATTTCATCTTGTTTTTGTGTATTTACTTGATTATTTGTGTAATTATCTTGGAAATATTCACTGAAAGCGGTTCCTTTTTGTTCGTCTGTCAAGCACACTTTGTCATTGTAACTCAGTGTGGGAAGTTCCGAGTATGGTTTTTTGAACCTTCTCACAACCTTCCACACCGAGTTGTCTCGTACATTTACCGCTTCCAGGGTTCTCTTCCATTTTAGATTACGGAATTCTGCAATTTCTTTCTTTATTATTTTTCCTAAGTCAAGCATAAGAACCCTGTCCGCGGCTTGTCTGTGTGTTTGCCATCGTTTTCGCAAAGTTATTTTTGTGTTTAATCAAGTCCGTAATGTCCTGCGGTAAATTGTCTTTTTGTTGTTTGTGTTTTATTATTTTTGTTGATGTGTTTCTTGCTGTCAGGATGGCTTTTGTTAGTTTGTTAAATTCGTCATCGAGTGTTTCTGTATTGGTAATGTTATTGTTAATAGTTATGTTTGCGTCTAGTGTTTTTCTGTACAGTTGCCAGTTTGTTGTCTTGTAGTCGTGTGTCTGTCCCTGTATTCTGGGGATTATTCGTGAAGTTTTAATCTCCAGAAATTGTATTTATTCCGGCCCTGTTCCGCATCAAACTGTTAGAATAATATACATAACAAAGGTTTTATAGCGCCATCTGTGAAATTACCTTAAACTTCTTAGTGCACAGATTTCTACAAGCTTTGGATACGGCGTATACCATCTTTCATCTGCGTTGCACCTAGCCGATTAGGTGAATTAATAATAAGCTTTTATTTCAAACCAAGCTTTCAGGGAAACCAAACATTATTTTAAAGTGCAATTTGTTTCATTTATTTGATATGCTAGTTGTACGGGTGGTAACGAAAAGAAAACGTCTAAATATGTTTAGTTTTTTAAATTAAACACGTCGACAAGTCGAGGGTTTCTATGTGATTTTGACACCAAGGATCAAAGTAATTTTTCGAGTATTTTTAAAAAACTCTGCTTCTTTAGATTTCTTTACGACCCGTAGGCATTATTCAAATACTGATTTCTATATTAAAATTAATGCTACGAAGTATACTTTTCCCGAAAGCTTCGTCAAAAGTAACCTCTGCATATACGGGGAATTAACATGGGCGATCGCCGGCCTTAAGTACAAAAATTGTGATTTGATTAACTAAATAAATTTTAATGTGACAAAGAATAATCTAAGAATCCCAAGTAACAAAAAATTATTAAGTTTAGATCCAAGTAGTATATCTACTTTTAACAAGATGATGGCTGTTATCAATGAGTTTCTTAGCGAGTTCCAAACAGATATCTTTAATATTAGCCTAAGAAAGTTGAGGACTATCCTTAATTAAGTTCACTAAACATTAAGGTTTTATTACAGGGAGTTCAGAATAAGACAATAAATTGTTTGAAAAATATTCGTTTTTATTTTCAGTTAAATAATTGCGTGCCAAGCGCTCAAGAAGTTCCGCCTTCGAAATATTCTGTCTCGTCTTGTTACATCGGCTTGTGCTTCGTCAGCGATAGCAACGTAACATTCTTATAAACATTCGACAACATTGAGATATTAACTTTCAGGCAAATATTTTATATTCAACAAATACTTACTACTTAATATTTATAATATATTTTAATTATAAAAATCAACAATAATAAGAATAATAATAATGGCATAAGTTTATTATATAGTAACAGTTTGTATCGTTTTTGTTTTTAAATTTCTTGTTACTTAACTCTACATGTATATTAATTTTTTTATAGTATCCAATAAATAAATAAATTTTATCTTATGGCTGCTTTCAAACAATTCTGTGTATTGTCACTTAGCTTAAAGTCAATTTTAAATTAGTGAGTTTAATAAAAATGTCAAATAGTGATATGTATTGTGTCCCTGAATTTGCTGTGTGTAGTAAATGGCCAATATACATAACTTTGATATTTTTATTACAAGTGTAAAAACTACGAAAACCGTATACATAGTTCCCATTTTTAAATAAATTCATAATTCATAATAAAAAGTAACGATTTTCATCTGCCATACTTGAACTTATTCACAAAAACCAGTCACTAAGTATATATTTGTAAAAAAACTACACTACATATGTCTCCGTTAAAATTTTTTATATTTATAACTACATACTTTCCTCTAGATTTTGCTGTATAAAAAAAATATACCTAAATAACGTATAGAATTAAATTCGACAACATACTAAAAGAGTTTTATATTAGAGTATTAGTCTGGTCAATTAGCAATGCCAAGGCCATAAATTTTAAATAAAAAAA